ATTTTGTGTATGTTAAACACTAAAAGCTCTTTTTAAATTATTCAAGGACAACAGAAGCAGAGGGTCGTGCCAGTGTGTGTCTCTACACAAAAACACAGGGAGTGTTATGTCATTGCATGAATTATTTTATCTGCTGAGAAAAACTCAAAACCATCCACCACTTCCTGAATGGAGAGACGTTTTGCGTCTTAATGAACATGACCCTTTGGCCTGACTTCATTAATCATTAAAACCGCGTACACACTGACAGCATGGAGCATCCCGCGTGTTGAACGTCGAAGGAAAGTAGGCTGTAAACATCGGTTTGCTTGTTTTTCTCTGCTCAAAGGGCTTTTAAGCTGTCGTCTTCATGAACAGGAGCAAGTCGCCATGACAATGCCGGTGACCTGAAGGGCCCGATTTGTTGACAAGCACGCTGAAATAAAAACATGCAGCTGGTCCAAAGTGGGCCTCAGTTACTGACCTCTGAAAGGTAATTAAACCAAAGGAAGTCGAGAGGAGACCAACACAGTTTTAATATTTATAAACAAGAAACCACAACGTTTACAGAAGAGATACCACAGGGATCTATACTAGGACCACAACTCTTTATAGACGGTCTATGTAGGTCATCAAACATAATGACTTATGTGCTTTTTGCAGATGACGCCAATGTTTACTGATCTGGGAATAACTGATATCAGGACCAGTGCTGCGTCCGAATTGCCCGCTCGGATACTACATGCTACTGCTACATACTACTGCTAGATCCTACTCCTACATACTAAACACGTTGGCCCAATTCGGACACACTAGACGAGCAGTGGGGAAAGACGACCCCCGCAGGCAGAGAGTAGGTACTGCGCCCGTTTTAGACTGAATGGTAATTGTGCAAGTGACGGATGCTGAGTATTATATTCCTGCACTGCTTTAGAAATTCACAAAGTAGCTTTTCCGTGACTTTTAGCCTTCATTCACTCACGTGGTGATGGTTTGTTCAATGAGATCTGCCTGATTACTGCAGCTGTGCAGTTTAATGATGGAATAAGTGAGCTTTACCTACATGATGTCGCCACATATTTGCTCATAAAATGATTACTTGGGCAAATATGACACCATGACATGACAAAGAGATACAACCGCACATTTTTTAGGACAGTGTGTGAAGTTACATGAAACCGCCATGGTGCGCGCTGCTGTGGCCAGCCGGCGTTCGCGACGCATCTATGCTGGTGGCGCTAGCATCACATGCGCTTCTACAACTTTTAAGAGGACGAAGAAGAAGCCCGCGGCGCATTTTGGGTCAGTAGCATGCCCGTAGGATGCACCGAGACCAACCTACAATGTGGGCGTGTCTAGTATCTGAAGTAGTATCTGAAGTAGCATGCTACTCGCTCCGGTGGCCAATTCGGACATGCTAGATACTACTTCGACTACTACTTCGACTACTACTTGGCAATTCGGACGCAGATCAGGACTCACTGAAACTATCTAACCCCCAATTTCCACCGCATCCAGGACAGCTACTAAAAGGTCGTATCCTCCGATTGTAGCTGATTGAAACCATTCAAGTTAATGTGTCAATTTCCACCGGCTTCTTTCCGTTCCTCTGCAGATCGCCGTACTCCACAGCTGATCACAAGAGTTCTATTTTTTCCAGAGGCCAGGGCATGCCGGATAAATTCATCACAGATTAACCCGTGCTGGAATGGAAGTCGGGCACAGACACAAAATAAAACATCCAGATTCTTTTAAAAATAAAAAACTCTGTGTTTCAGGAGGATCATATTTCACACCATGCAAACAGGCGGAGACGAACAAGTGAAAGGTTTTTAGACATCATTTCACCCCGATGACACCATTAATGACAAGATGCTGATTCTAGAAGTCTAGAAGTAGATTTCCTCCTCTGGAAGGACACAATCTACTTCTTATATGTCTATGAGGCTGTCTTTATAGAGACAACTCGTTATCGCGTAATTGATCGTGAATCTGTGGGTTTTTGTGAGTTCTCGCGATTCCTGCTGTCCGTAATCCGCCATGAAATTCACCTCACAAACGGATCCAGTAAGAATTGGCAGACGGCATCTCTTAGTTATTGTGCAGAGTTGTAGTAAAAAACGTATTCTTATTTTAAAACCTCTGAAAAGTTACAGTAGAGTAAGAAGTTCAGATGCAGCAGCAGGACGGTCTGTTGGTTGATATCCTTCCTCCTGCGATGTCACCTGATAATCAGCTGAGTGTGTTTGTATTTGTGTGTTTGTGGGTCTGGACGTCAACATGTCGACATATCTCTGGTGCCATCCTGACAGACTGCAAGTGTGTGTTTATGTTAGAATAAGTGTGCGTGTGTGTGTGTAGAGGGTGTGTTTGCAGATGTTGAACAGCACAAGCCCCCCCTGGTCCAACCTGTACTCATCCTTATCAAAGACAGAAAGCTGCTCTAGTATCAGCCTCACTCTAAAGTCTGCTCCTGCCTTTGTTCTCCGTCACATCTTTGTCAGACAGGATCCGACCTCTAATCACTTTCAACCCCTCGACCTGTCTCTGTTCAATACCCCCCCCCCCCCCCCACACACACACACACACACACACACACACACCTTTGTCTTAAATATGTCCCTGCTTTACATTCACCTCCTCTCCTCCTTCAAAGGGAGCTGATACTCCTCTGAGAAGATAAGGAAAGTGAGAGGGTGACGCTGTGTTTTCTGGAGTTTGAGAAACAGAACTAAAGAAGAGAGTGTCCCTGTTTCTCTTCATACCAGTCCAAAAAAACATCCAGAGTTCTTCTACCACACGGTTCCTTAAAAAGATCCTTTGTCTGGTTTGGGTTTGGAGGGGGGCTTTGGCTTCTCGGGTTGAGTTTGAGTTGGATCGAGTCCGTTGAGTGTTTGTAGTTCTGAATCAAACCAATCAGAGCATCTGCTCACATTTGTGTGTCTGCAGGCAGGGGTGTTACCCCCAATTTTCACCCCATACGGTGATACGGCTCCGATCCAGAACAGCAGTGATTTTTGCTGTTCGCCAAATCCTACCGAAACCATTTGTGAGTTGAATTTCGTGGCTGATTATGGACAGCAGTAATCGCGAGGACCCACAAGAAAGAAGCCGGATGTTTTATTTTGTGATTGTGCCCGACTTCCTTTCCAGCACGGGTTAATCTGTGCTGAATTTATGCGGCATGCTCTGGCGTCTGGAAAAAATACAACTCTTGCGATCAGAGGATAACTTGATTCAGTTAACTTGAATGGTTATGATCAGCTACCATCGGAGGATACGGTCTTTTCATAGCCATTCCGGATGCGGTGGAAATTGGGGGTTACTATTTACACAGTCAACTTCTCTGCTCTGCTTCTACAAACACTGGGTCTGTTAGACAGTGGGCTTCATATCTGCTTTCTTTTAAAAAAGAACTATTTAAAAAAAAAAAAAAAAAAAAAACCTTGATTATACTGGATAAGATCAGAAGTCATTCAAAGTCCCACCCCTTTTTGATTCTAATTGGTTGATGGGTGCAGCCGTTATTATTGGTGATCAGAGTTGCCTCAAGTAAATCCACTTCATACGTCTTTAGTTTGAATTGTTGGGAATGCTGGTTTTGAACATAACGTTAGTGAAACCCTCTGTGAAGAGTTATCTGCAGACCCGGTTTGAACCTTCAACTCTAGCATCATGAACTTTACTCATTCCTCTGACTCCAAATAAAACATCGTCTAACACTTTCAAACTAGAAAGCGTGTATGAAATAGGAGCAAATTGATCCTGTTGTAGACTGGCACACCTCAGCTGGAACAGATGGGAACAAATCCTGTGGAAAAAACAACCCTTCCTCACCATGGATTTTCCACAAAACATCCTCCACAGGTATGAAATTGTTTCTGGGTATTTATCGAGCTGGGCCCTGCAGGAGTTCATCTGAATCTCCTCTTTCACAGGATGCAATCATATTTCAGTTTAGCAGTTTGAAATGATTGACTGTTACTGTATGTGTATCCGGCAGTGCCGCAGAAATAGACGGGACATTTCGTAACGACGAGCACCGACTGACTGCTAATGAGCTGGACTTACCAAAACCTGAACTCCCTCTGCTGATATGTGCAGAATGAGCTAATGACTGTGTTATTGTAGCAGCAGATAAACACCGGACTGAGATAATCCCGGCCTTTGTTTGGACTAAAGATCCTCTGGCTGAGCTTAAAAGATTCTAACACACAGATCTCTCAGTCATTTTCGTCTTATATATCTGATTGTGAAATAGTTTAGACAGTTTCAACGTGAACATAAGTCACAGCTCAGCAGAAGAAACTAGACTCTATAAAACAGGGTATTTCACCTGTATGGACCTGGTTTTGCAAGATCACTGAGACTTGATCCATTCATTAAAGACAGGAGCAACCCACCAAGTGCTGTTTCTGTCTTTCTAACACCCAGGTTTAACCGCTGTGGAACGGCCGCGATTTTTGATATCCACCAAATCCTACCGGATCCATTTGTGAGGTGAATTTCATGTTGAATTTCAGACAGCAGGAATCGCAAGGACTCATTAGAACCCACAAATTCACCTGCAATCGCGCAATAACGAGTCGTCTCTGTAAAGACTGTGTCCTTAACCCTTCCTTTACATGAACAAATGATAAGCTGGTGTGACTCAAACTTTTTAAAGCTTAATGTAGGAAAAAAACGAAAGAGCTGATTATTGACTTCAGAAATAAAAAAGGTCCTATCCCTGTCGATAAAAGGCAAGCAGCTTGACATTGTTGAGTCCTGTAAATACCTTGGTGTCCATTTGGACAAGAAATTAAACTGGAAAGAAAATACCCAGGCCTCATTGAAGAAGACTCAGTCTAGACTATTCTTTCTCAGAAAGTTAAGATCTGTCAATGTCAGCATGAGGCTTCTGGCTGTCTTTTACCAAAGTATTCTGGCTAGTGTCCTTTTTTATGGTGTACTTTGCTGGGGGGGGGGGGGCGCATATCATCTGACAACAAAAATAGGATCAACAAGATGATCAAGAGGGCCGGGTTAGTTATTGGCTTAGTCCCAGAGTCTCTTGAGGCCATTGTTTAGAGGAGGACCAGGTCTAAATTAAAATTAATCCTGGGCTACAAAGATCATTCATTGCACTACGTCTTTACAGGTCTTGAAAGCTCTTTTAGTGAGTGACTTGTGATGCCTCGGTGCTCCACTAAAATCTACCTTACCTTACCTTAGCCTAGAAACAACATATGTTGGTCACTCCTGCTGTAGAATCCCACGCCATTTCCTTTTTATGATTGTCCTTATATGAGGGATGAGATGGCTCAAAGATTATTCCATGATTTTGGATTTCCAGGATCAGCATTTCCTCATCCATGGTGTCATTGGGGTGTCCCTATAACGAGTTGTCCCTATAAAGACAGCCACATAGACATATAAGAATAGAATAGAATAGAATAGAATATTCCTTTATTGATCCCCCATAGGGGAAAATTTTTTGTCACAGCAGCATCACAGACAAAGAGTGCAAAAATGCAGTTATAAAAACAAATATCATCATATTAAGGAAAAGGAAAAAGGGAGAATAAAAATAAAAATATATACAATATACACAATTTAAGTGTCAGAAAAAAAAGTGGTGGTGTGAGTCCAGTTTTATTACAGTTCGTTGTAAAGTCTTATTGCAGAGGGGAGGAATGACCTGTGGTAGCGCTCCATCTTGCAAGGTGGGAGTCTCAGTCTGCTGCTGAAGGAGCTGCTTAAAGCCCCCACAGTCTGGTGCAGTGGGTGAGAGGGATTGTCCATGATGGATACAAGCTTTGCTAACATCCTCCTCTCACCCACCTCCTCCAGGGAGTCCAAAGAGCAGTCCAGGACAGAACTGGCCCCAGAACTGCAGAGGATCCAGATGAGAGCTCACCAGGAGGCAGAGGTTCCTCAGCACGATCCTCTCCAGTCTTCATCAGGTGAGAAGTGAGGGCCACAGGTCTGAAGTGGTTGGGCTCCCTGGGGTGTGCTGTCTTGGGGACAGGAATCACACAGGAAGTCTTCCACAGTGCTGGGACCCTCTCCAGACTCAGACTCAAGCTGAAGATGTGCAGTAGCACCTCACTGAGCTGGTCTGCACAGTCCTTCAGGAGTCTGGAGCTGATGCCGTCAGTACCCGTGGCCTTCCTTGGCTTCATCTTCCTCAGCTCACTTCTCACCTGGTCAGCTGTTATGGAGAGGCTGAGGGTAGTGCTGGAGGGGGTAGTGGAGAATGAGTGGAGGGGGGTTGATGATGCTGGTGCCAGTTTGATGAGTTGGGGGAGCAGAGTCAAATCTATTGGCTCACTCCCTGTCACCTGCTTCAGGTCCCCTCTCGTGGCCCCTGCTATGACCTGAGATGGATTTCAGGCCTCTCCAGACCTCCCTCGTGTTGTTCTGTTGCAGAAGATTTTCCATCTTGGTCTTGTAGCTGGCCTTCCCCTCCCTGATCTTCTTCTTCAGCTCCTTCTGCACCCTCCTCAGCTCCTCCTTGTCCCCGGTTTTAAAGACCCTCCTCTTCTCCTTCAGGAGGACTTAAAGTTCAGGGGTCACCCAAGGTTTGCTGTTGGAGAAACACCTTACTTTCCTGGTGGGTACGGTGTTCTCAACACAGAAGTTTATGTAGTTCGTGATACAATCTGTCATGGTGTCGATGTCATCACCATATGGGCCGCACAGTACATCCCAGTCTGTGGTCTCAAAACAGTCCTACAGCGCCTCAGTGGCCTCCTCAGACCAACTCTTAACATACCTGATGGTGGGGGGTTGTTTCTTCACCATAGGTATGTAAATGGGCTGCAGTCTCACCAGGTTGTGATCTGAGCGGCCCAGCGGGGGGAGGGGGGAGGAGGTGAATGCATCCTTGGTGTCTGCATACAGTAAGTCCAAAGTTTTATTGTCTATCGTTGGGCAGTTTACATACTGGCTGAAGGTAGGGAGAGTGGAGGACAGCGATGCATGATTAAAGTCTCCAGAGATGATGATCAGAGACTGAGGGTGTGATGTATGTAGCTTGGACACTTCACTGTGGAGGAGTTCACAGGCTGCAGCAGCATCAGCCGAGGGGGGGATGTAAACAGTTAACGCGATGACGTGCGAAAACTCCCTGGCCAGGTAATATGGCCGCAAACTCACAGCCAGCAGCTCAATGTCCTTAGAGCTGTGCTAGTGCTCTTTAACACTGACGTGCCCAGCATTACACCATCTCTCATTCACATACACCGCTATCCCGCCTCCTTTCTTCTTACCACTCTCCCATACACTCTGGTCCACTCTGACGAGGTGAAATCTGTCCAAAGTTACGACCGGGTCTGGAGTGAGTTCGTTCAGCCATGACTCCGTGAGCATCATGAGGCTGCACTCCCGGTACTCCCACTGCAGCAGAGTCAGCGCTGTGAGCTCTTCCATCTTGTTGGGGAGAGACCTCACGTTTCCCATAATAATGGACAGGACAGTTGGCTTAGAAAGCAGTAGATTGTGCCCTTCCAAAGGAGGAAATCTACTTCTAGACTTCTAGAATCAGCATTTCCTCATCCATGGTGTCATCTGGGTGAAATGACGTCTAAAAATCTTTCACTTGTTCGTTTCCGCCCGTTTGCATGGGGAGAAATACGATCCTCCTGAAACCAGAGTGTTTTATTTTGAAAAGAAGCCGGATGTTTTATTTTGTGTCTGTGCCCGACTTCCTTTCCAACACGGGTTAACCTGTGCTGAATTTATCTGGCATGCTCTTTCGTCTGGAAAAAAATAGAACGAAATCTATTTAAATGCAGGGGGCCTGAAAGAAGTCGGTGGAATTTGACACATTAACTCTGATGGAAACGATCAGCGGCGATCAGTGCCTACGGCCTTTTCGCCACTGTCTGCATGAGGTAGATTTTGGGGGTACTCTTCAGTGTTTCCACTAGAATTTTTTTCAGCAGTGGCGCTTCTGTGTCGTTTCGGGTTGGGGGCGATTTTCACTGTTATCCCCACTCGCTTTCTGCTCATGGAGCTACGCTGTCATGTTCACATTACAGTACGTTACCCGTGCTACTCGCTATATAGACTGTGTATAAGCTTGAACGTTACCTGTCACATTAATGGAAGAGGGTCTGACAGGATTTGATGCGCTTTTCAAAGACTCAAAACAAGCCGAAAATAACGTTGTGTATGAATATATGAATGTTGTGAATGAATGTAGGGAAAGACTGTGCTTTTTCAGATCTGAGCGTCCAGAACTTTTACTGCAGGTGGGTAGAAACAGTCAAACGTCACACTTTGGTCTTTGGACATCACACATCTCATCACTTTTTCAAACTTGAGGGAGGAAACATTTTTTTTCCCCCAGACCCTCATATTAAATGTGAATTCCTCTCCTCCCCCCTTTTGTAACGTATGTGCATATCTTCTCCAGCCTTTCAGAACCTTTAGGCCCAAAAATTGGGATTCATACGGTGCAAGAAATCCGTGAGTTCAGCCGAGTCCTTGCTCTGCTACTTAATGTGATCAGAATTTTCTGTTCGGGATGTTTTTTGTCACAAAGGACTGACGTTCTTATGCTGCTCTTGCTAACAGGACGCGGTACGACTCTGAATGTATGTCGATATAATCAGACTGCTAAACCTTGAGTGGATTGAACCCTGTATCTTTGCACCACAGCCAGCATCTATGATTTCCAGTTCTTTGTGAAAAGAAGTTCTTTCCATGCGATGACTCCCACTCCAGAGTCCTCTCTGTTTTTGAAGCCCTGAAAATCAGGACCATCCAGTCCTCCTTTAGTACAGTCCTTTTGAACATTTCTCCGTTTTTTAACCGTGTGTCTTTAAAACGGTTTCCTCGGCTGAACGGTTGAACCTCCTACAGAACAAGAAGATGAGCCGCTGAGATCACTTACACTTCTTAAAATCATCTTCATCGTCCACTTTCTCTTCCTCCTCGCCGACGGCTGCAGATGAGGATCTAATAAAAGGCGGTCGAGAAAATGGCTCCACCACATCTGTGTAATACACGGAGGTTAAATGGGGAGGAATTGGCTTTAGATTGAAGTGATTTGCGTGTTTTAGCCTGAAGTTCCAGCGCTGCTGCTGCTGCAATAATTGAATTACTTCAAAAATCAGACCAAAGTGAAGCTATTCCTGCTCAACACACACGCACACACACACACTTAAACACACACACGCAGGCGTTCCTGGGGAGATGCGTTCCTGCCTTCATCTCTTTCATGAGCGAGAGGCTTCAGAGGATAAGCAGCAGATCAAACACAGCACCGGTTAAAGCACAGCAATTACACTTTCCACCTGAGGGAGGAAGAGGAGGAGGAGGAGGAGAGCGAGGGCGAGTGAGAAAGGGAGAGAGAGAGAGAGAGGACAGATAAAGGCAGAGAGTGTGAGAATAAGTGTAATGAGAACAGATTGTAGATGAGGAATTCTCAGCACTGCTGAATAAAATGGGTTCAGGGAGACGGGGAGTGTTCAGCTGTTTTGTGTTTTAATAAGATACGATTGGCAGGAGCCCAAACAGTGTGTGTGTGTGTGTGTGTGTGTGTGTGTGTGTGTGTGTGTAGATATGAGCTAGTGTATGAAGGTGCACATAAACAATCTGCCTAAACGTGCACACAATAACACATGTAATCTCTGTTCTGTTGACTTTAATAATAGATAAAACATGAACTACTGAACAACACATGGCTTCTCATTTACATCAGTGTGTGTGTGTGTGTGTGTGTAAATGACAAAAAGATTTTTTAAAAAAGCATCACTATAATAAAACACACTTAACTGAGAGATGAACAAACTCCAACTGGACAAGGTTTGAAGTCAAGATTTGATCACAGTTTTACTCTCCTCTCTTCTGAACTTTCGCATTCAGGATCCGTGAGTCCCTCTTTCAGGTCTTTGCACACTCGGTCTGGTACTTCAGGACAATCTCATGATCATGCACACTGATGCACAAACTTTCATCTGTCTTATTTCTTCTCCAAATGGGTGTAATTTTCCTTATCTTTAAAAAGACGCCCTCGGACACTGATATGTGCTCACTTGTCCAACAGTGTGTTTTTGATTTGATCTGATTTCCGTCCTTAAATAAGCTGGTCAGGATCAATTAGGATCAGTTTCTTTCTCTTCTTTGAATGTGTGGCTCCAGAAATTCTGAAAACTGGACCAAACTGGACCCCTGACATCCATACCTGGGATTTCCAACGCATCTGGAACGGCTCCGATCTGGAATGGCGGCAATTTTTGCCGTCCGCCAAGTCTTACCAGATCCGTTGGTGAGGCGAATTTCTTTGCTGATTATGGACAGCAGTAATCGCGAGAACTCACAAGAACCCACGGATTCACGTTCAATCAAGTAATAATGAGTTGTCCCCATAATTACAGCCACGTAGACATATAAGCAGTAGATTGTGTCCTTCCAGAGGAGGAAATCTACTTCTAGACTTCTAGAATCAGCATCTCCACAACCATGGTGTCATCGGGGTGAAATGACATCTAAAAACCTTTCACTTGTTTGTCTCCGCCCATCTGCATGGTGTGAAATACGATCAGCCTGAAACACAGAGTGTTTTATTTTGAAAAGAAACCGGATGTTTTATTTTGTGTCTGTGCCTGACTTCCTTTCCAGCACGGGTTAATCTGTGCTGAATTTATCTGGCATGCTCCTGCATCTGGAAAAAAATAGAAGTCTGACGATCAGCTGTGCAGTCTGGCGATCTGCAGTACCGAACCCAGCTGCTTAACCGTCTAATAAGAGGTTCTTCCTCAGACCTCTACACCTGCAGCACCCTCGTCTGGTCACAAAATGACCTGAACATTGAGCATCGATCTCACAGGACGTCAGATCAGATCCTTGTTCTGGTTTTGTTCATATATTACAGTGTGGATCAGGGTCACAGGTTCAGTTTTATATTTGAACCAGCGCAGACCTGGACTCCAGATTTAAGCCTTTTCTCTGGATGTCTTTTAGTTTGATTTGTTCTCCACTCACTGGTCTTGACTGTAGTTTCACCCCAAACGGACTTTCACAAGAATTATGTCGTTGTTTAGACCAAGTACTGAACTGTGTATTAAGGTAAAGACCAGGATCAGAATTAACGGTCCTCTTTAAAGTAAACCTGTACCCAGAACTAAAACAGAAACTTTTCCTGAGTTTCCTCCTTTTCTTCCTCCTCACACTTTCCTGCGTCGTGTCGTGTTGTGGTTTTAACACATAAACAGTGTTAGTGTGTGTTTGTTTGTGTGTCCTCTAACACTCATTAGAAACTAAACCAAAAAAACTTTATTCAGAGTTTTCACTAACAGTCCAAAAAGCAGGAGCTCACACACAACCTTTCTCTTACACACACTCCAGCTCCAGTGTGTGTGTAAATCTGTGTGTGTGTGTGTGTGATTGACCCGAATCAGCCTCTCATCGCAGATTGATCGAGACACTAACCCGCATGGATGAGTGTCGATGATAATCATGGCGTTTGACTTCCTCTCCCTAAACTTTTCATAATCTCTCTCTGTCCTCCATTGTTTCTCCTCCTCCTCCTCCTCCTCCTCCTCCTCCTCTCTACTTATTTCTGACAGTCGGACAGGTCTGTAAGATGCCAGAGCATTTCACACAATGATACCCATTTAGAGCAAGGAGTGCTCATAATGACCTCAGATTGTCTGTAATGGTACATAATCGGCTCCTCTCCCCCGCTGCTGCCGATGTATTTCTTCTTCTTCTTCTTCTCTCAGGACACGAATCTGTGAGTCTGTGCCGTCTCCCCGTGTGCACACAGATATTCAGCATGTGAAAGTCAAACTGACATAAAGCACAGCTGAGAGAGCGAGAAAGAGAGAGAGCTTTTCAGTTAGTCTATATCAAAAAGGTACGATGAGGACAGGTGAGAGGAGGGGCCTAACCTGAGGGTTTGACCTGGGGTCATTATGGGAAGAGGAATCAGACTTCACGTCCAGATACATCTGCACACATCAAAAGTTTCTTTTATTTTTGAGGATAAAAAGTAAAAACAGGCATGAAACACAAAAATAGAAAATATAGGGAACAGCAGCACTCCTCTTCCTCCTCCTGCTGCCAGGAGACTTATTAAGAAGTCTCTTGGGCCGAAAACCAAAAAAACAAAGTCAGAGTGTTTTTGGATAATTTCAGCAAGATCCACTTTACAAGATAATTAAGATGAAAGCTGCCAAATACTGAGTTTTTCCATTTTCTGAAGAGTGTCCTGTGGTCCCCTAAAGAGGACACACTCAGTATGTTTACATGCACAGCCTAAGCGGACTAAGCTCGTAATTCGTTTTTTTCACCGAATTGGACTTCTCTCCTTATCCGCGTATACATGCAGCTGAGAAAATTTCAGTAAGTTTAAGTAAGCAAAAATCGCCGCCATCCAGGAAATTAGGGGTAGAAGGTAACACCCCTGCACTGGGTCTAACTTTGTATTAGGGATGTGTGCGGTTATTTGGATATTCGTGTAAACGGGGCTGTCCTTACTATCCGTTTAGTAAATAATATTAGTTTATTCTATAAAAAAAAAAGAAAAGGGGAAAAATAAGCGAAAAAAAAACTTTTTTTTTTTAAATTATGTTTTTAACCGTCATGTCTTAATAAAAGTGTGCATTAAACAAGCTAAAATGTGTGGATCATTTGTGTGCGACTCTTTCTGCCTGGCTCGCTGCTCTGGGCTCTCAGTGCAGCATGCATGGCATCGTGGGTTAACTTCCTCAGAGTGAATCAACACATGCGATCACCCAGAGCGATGTCGGTGAGGAAAAAGAACAAAGTTTGGGACTAAACAAAGCTGTCAGAGATGTTGAAAATAAACATTGTTGAACGTGATGTTGTATGACTCTGAAGACTCTTCATTTTGTGCTTATGGTGTCAGGCAGACTGATGACGCAGCAGGCTGCATGGCTTGAGCGCAGCGGAGCTTAATTGCTTTGATCTTTCACGTACTTTATGTCATTCTCCAGCGCTAAAATAAGATTCTGTCACATATTTATTTCCGATGATATCTGGCCGTATAGATCCACATGTGCTCAATTTGGGCTATTTTCTGGGAGTTAATTAATTTTCGTGTATTTGAATATTAGGTTTCAAAATGGTCATTTAAATGTGCACCTGCAGTCACCTTCAGCACACACACACACACACACACACACGTGTGTGTGTGTCCTCCTACGCTTTGACAGAATTGTTGGACTCACGTCGTCACATTTGAGCAGAAACGTGTTTATTTCTGCTGACCTTTCAACATGAGGATCTTTTTCAGACACAGCCTCTAGTGGTCAGGAAAGGAACTGCAGTTATTTTTGTATTTTAAGTATTAACATCGGGGGCTCTTGGGCTCCATCCGATCCTTTTTATTTTGAGTACAGATTAAAGTAAGAGCACAAAGTTTTTTTTTTTAAGACTTGATTGATTACCAAGAACTGAGTTTGTTTTTCTGATTTCACAGCTGTGTCAAACTTCTGTTAATCATATAAATCAGTTTTATTTTCTGCTCCTGAGAAGAACTTAATAAGAGACACCAGCTGTTTTTAAACACAACATGAAAAATTCAATCCCAAACCCAGTTTTCCTGCTGCGCTCACTTTAATCCATTTTGTTGCCTTTTGTCCTGATAATCAAATCTAGACCTGGAGAGAGAAAGGACGCTGTTGTCTGTGACTGAGTCTGATGTTTGGTTTGATAATTGACTGCTTTTACTGGATTCTGTCTGTCAGAATAAACACAACATCTTTTTCATCCTTGATTTATGAAGGTGAATTATTTACGAGTACAATGCTTTTTACTCTGCGAACAGGAAAGAGAGTAAAAGAGGAAGAACCAGAGATTGATCTGTTGTCCTACATCTGAGTAAACCTAATATTTACTGTTTATGAGCGTCAGGTCTTCACTGGTCTCCTCTCAGGCTCCCATGATGCTTCAGTTCACTTCATTTTACTTAAAGGTGTGGGGAAGCCAGGATCAGAGGATCTCAGGATCCCGCCCACTAACAGACTCTCCTGCTCGCTCTCATCATTCCAATTAAATTCAGATATAATGGAGATAAATACCTCAGATAATTACAAATGGGGCCCAGTCAAGGTGAAAGTAAGTAGCAGCAACCTTTATTTAACCAGGAAATAAACCCATTGAGATTCAGAATCTCTTTTACAAGGGGGTCCTGGCCAGGATAGCAGCACAAGAAGTTCCACATAAAAAAAAAAAAAAACACGCAGAAAAACAAAACAGTTACAATATGCAAATCACAATAATAAATCAGCGTTCAGTTAGAGGACATGTGCATTCAGTACTCAAAAACTCCTCAATTCTAGTTTTAAAATGTCCCATACTTGGCAGATAATCCAATTTAAAATAACCCTGTAATTTACATAGTTGGGACCCTAAGACACATTTTACTTCAAGTCATGATACAAATGTCCCCTTTGGTATGGAAGTACCTTAGGGTCATAGAAAACATTTTATCCAAAGAGACAAGTTAGATCACCCTTCAATTTTTTTTAATAGCCATTTTGAAAATGGCTGCCGACAATAAACCGCTTATACACCAGACCCCGTATCTTTGCTTCTGTTAGAGCTATAATCAACATATTGGTGTCAAAGTGCACATTTTTGGGGTCTAGGAATTCAATTAAATAGGTTTCAATGTAAAAAACCCAATGCTTCATTAATTACCATGACAGTGGGAGGTAAAATATGCTAATTTCATGAAAAAAATGTACGTTTTGACAGGGTAACTTACCCCCACACCCCTCCCCATAAACTGAGATTTACTTTTCCTTTGGCATGGAAGTACCTTAGGGCCATAGGAAACATTTTATCCAAAGAGACAAGTTAGATCACCCTTCAATTTTTTTTAATAGGCATTTTAAAAATGGTCGCCGACAAACCGCTAATTCACCAGACCCCATATCTTTTCTTCTGTTGGAGCTATTTTGCAGAGAGGACCAACCAACACTCTCATATAAGCTGCAGTGATGAGTATGAAAATCTAAGCCAGTTACAAATTTTAATGCCGCATGATACACTGAATCCAGCATTTTTAAAGAAGAGAGATTTGCATGCATGTATAAGAAGTCACCATAATCAAGTATGGATAAAAAAGCATTGGTGCTACTGTAGATGCCAACAGACTACCAGCAAACACAATGTTTGCAGGACTTCTACAACTAGGATAAAGTGACATAGTCCAGGACCCAAGGTCAACAGTTTAGCGGTGCTACAACACGCTAGAGCAGGTCCCGTTTGACAAGAAACACTTCTGTTACAGACACTTGGCTTACTTTGTTAAAGCGGTTTACCTGTCCAACAGAAAGTTTACAGGGTCACCAAGATCCCCAAGCGTCCCCCATCGTTTATGTTTTTAGCTCTTGTCCGGTCTACCTTCTTTTTAGGCGCCTGTTATTCCGCCAGAGTCTCCGGTATTTACTTTGTTTTCTTGCTTGTGTTTTCTGAACTTTCTGGTTGGTTTCTACAGGGACCAGCTTTGTTTACAGTCAGAAAGAGCGGGCCTCTCAAAAATCTTAAAATGTTGACTTGACAGACATAAGAGAACACAGCGCTATCGTTATCTTCCCAAATGTCATCAATAACTAATAACTATTGACTGATATTAAAAGATTTTTTGTAAATACAACACAAAAAAAGATGCTTCTTTGACGAAATCCTGCCTACCCCACCTTTAAGATGAAAACAAAGCAGCCTCCTCTTTAATGGGACTTCTGCTGTATGAAGAGGTAGTACTGCAGAGGTGTGTGTGTGTATGTGTGTGTGTGTGTGTGTGTGTGTGTGTGTGTGTGTGTGTGTGTGTGTGTGTGTGTGTGTGTGTGTGTGTGTGTGTGTGTGTGTTGATAAAAGTCTGTTGTAACAGACTTTTAATAAGTTTAACCTCTAAATATCCTGCTCTAAACTCTCAAATCTTCCCCTCTGAGAAACAGACCAAGTTTGTTAAACATTTTCTATCTCTTAAACTCTTACATTATTCACCGGTGTTCTGCAGATGTGAATATAAAGATTTAAATGTCACTCTTGTCCAATAAAACGGCCTGACAGCTCCTATCTGTCAGTCAAAGAGGCCACACCAACAATTATCCAGAACTTCAGCCCTTATTTGGATTTGAGTTTGGCGTAAAATTTAGCCCATACACAGGGCTGCCAAGTTTCAGAAAATGACAAGAGCGAGTCTCTAGCATTATGTTGTAGGGCCCAACCGATATGGATTTATGGGGCCGATGCCGATACAGTTTATTAGGGGGGGAAAAAAACAGATTACTGATCAATCGGCTGATATTAAATTTTTTTTATGAAGTTTTAAAATTGTGTTAATTGAAGTAATATATCTACACATTTAGTTAGTTTTTTTTTTAACAAATGGCTGCTTTCGTGCCTTTCAAACACTTCTTCAAAGAATTGAAGGCAGAAAACTTATTTCAAATCCTTTTTATTGCTAAAACAACTGAAAAAGAATGAGGTATTTAGTGTAGAGTGCAAAGTGTTAAGTTTACTTCCAACTCAAAATGAGAAACACTTGATACAATGTAGGCTACTGCTCTTCACGCCGACAAGGAAGACCGACTGATCAGCTCAGTAATATTCCACTTATTGGGAACTGGCAACTCGGTTGAGACGTCATTTTCAGCTCTGACTTTAGAGCTAACTCAGACGCAGGATTAGGCACAAAGGACTGATGGGATTGGGTATCTCGGTCTGTCAATCAGAGTTACTAGAACTACGGCAAGCCAAGTTTATTATCATGAAAAAAAAAATGAGTATTGAACGGGGAAAAATATGCCTGGAAAATGTCAAGTGTGGCGTGTGGCATGAGAATGGGTCAAATTGCATGACTGTCACACTCAAAGCGTGATGCTAGCAGCTCTGCATACAGGTGTCGGTCTCATGTGGATTGTCTCTCGTGTTCTGGACTCTTCTGGTCTTTGCTGCTTCTTGTGGACACTTGGGGAACTACAGCTTTTGGAACATGATGGCTCAGTCTCAGTCTTAATGTACAGGTTGAACCTTATGTCTTCAAACCAGTGAGATCCTTCCAGATACATTATATAGATGTAGATAATACACTTTTTAATAAAGCAGAATAAAACCTCACCTTTTTAAATCTATTTAAAAATGAACTAAAATCACAGACAAACTTTTTCTTCTCGTCGTTTAATTTTTTTCTCAATCTGTGAGCGAGGACGAGTTTTTAACCAGATCCATTTTAATCAAAGAATCACAGCTTTTTAAGTATTTCAGTGATTACTCCTGGTTAAATTCGCCTCCTGAACCATTGCTCATTATTCTCTTTGTTGAAGCGACTGTGAGAAGACGGCGGGGCCTGTCAATCAAACCATGAAATCCTCGCCTCTCTGGAGACTGTGTTTCTACAGTTTGTGATAATGGCGGCCTAATCCATCTGCCATTTCAAATCGAGGCAAATTGTCCCCATTTTGAGTCGGCTGTAAACAAAACTGTTAAGAGTAATATCCTCACAGTCTGGCAGCATTTAAATCGGAGTGTGTGTGTGTGTGTGTGTGTGTGTCCGCACAGCCTCTGGGTTTGTTTTTAGGATGATTTGAAGACTCGTTCATGTTTTAAGGATCAGTACGTCTCAAAGTTATCGTCTCTTTATCTGTTTCCTCAGCAGATATCTCACAGCAGATAGTCTTAATGTTTCCTCGTTACAGGAAATAAACGTCCTCTTCGCCGTTTCATGAAGGAAAAGTTTCAGGCCGTAACTTTGAGTCTGAACTCCTCCTTTCAGCGTTCATCACTTCTCCTCTCAGAGCAGATCTCAAGTCTGCTGAGTTCCCCTCGGGTGAATCCTGAACTTGGACAGAACGTCTTCTTCCACTTAATTAAGGATTTGGAAACTTCACTGTCTCACCCCAAAACCTGATTTTCAACTTTTAACTTCTAATCTCATTAATGAAGTCAGTGATGGTCTCTGATCGTGTTCGTACGTCTTTGTAGTCTGACAGGTTTACATGTTAAAGAGATTAAAATCTCAGAATAATTAAAGGTTGTGTTTGATTTTAGCCAGGCAGATTTTTTTTTGTACAGGCCCTGAGATTGTCTTGTCAGGTTTTACTGTGTTTAAATTACAGGTGGGTCCCCTCGTTAATCCTGTGTTAAAACCTGTTCAAAGTCTGAAAGCTCTGTGAAGTAAACAGATGAAACAGATTTATATAAATAAACTCTGATTTCTGAGTCCAGGCTTGCTCAAACTTCTCCCCCCCCCCCCCCCCCCCCCCCAGCTCTCTCTGTTTTCTCCGTCATCATGGTTGTTACCTGGTCTTGGTTAGTCTCACCTTTGCCTGATCCCTCTCTAAGTATTCAGCTCCTGGGTTTCTCCTTCTCTGAGCCAGCGTCCCTGTGCTTTTCATCCTTTTATACTACGGCCTCACTTACACACTACAGGCCAAAAGTTTGGAGGCAAGATCAGATTTGTACAAAAAAAGATCATAGTTTCATATATATAATTTGCAACACAATAAACCTGACTATTGTGTAAAGAGTAACTTATCAGAAGACATTTTGACTATAATTATTAGGTATTTGAGTTATTATTGCTTAGACTTTGCTTTCTTTAAAGTAACCACCTCTGGCTTTAACAACAGCTTGGCATATACAAGGCATTCGTTCCACAAGTTTTTTAAGGTATGTTCAAGGGATTGCATTCCAAGCTTTCTTAAGTTAATTAAAAAGAGACTGCTGATTCGTGGGATGCATTTTTCTGACCGATCAATCCAATTCATCCCACACAAGCTCAATTGAGAAAGGTCTGGAGACTGAGGGGGCCAAACCATCTTTTGAAGAACACCTCCCTCTTCTTTTTTGTCTAGGTAACCCTGACAGAGCTTGGCAGAGTGCTTTGGGTCATTGTCTTGCCGCAAAACAAACTTATGAGCCACAAGTCTGAGTCCAGATGGAACAGCATGGTGCTGGAGGATGGAGTGGTACTGTTCCTTCTTCATGATACCCTTTACTTCAAACAAATCTCCTACTCCATCACCTGCAAAACATCCCCATACCATGAAACTACCACCTCAATGCTGAATTGTGGGTGTAACACATGGTACTTTCAGACGTTCACCAGTTTGTCTCTGGACATAGGCTCTGTGTTTTGAACCAAACAGTGCAAACTTGTTTCTAGTCATCGTAAGTCAAATTTTTGTGAGCTTTTGCCCACTCATATCTCTTTTTCTTATTCTGTAGACGAAGTAGTGTTTTTTTTTGCAGATACACAACCCTTCAGACCAGCCTTTCTCAAACGTCATTTTACGGTTGTCAGAGATATGGGTTTCGACCTTGTCATGTTGATTTCCTCCCTTATTTTTGGTGCTGTCTTTTGCCGATCTCTCTTGCTGGTGACAATGATATGTTTATCATTTGCTTTTGTAGTAACTCTCTTTCATCCAGGTCTTTTTCTATCATCATAACTTCCAGGTTCCTCTAGTCTCTTGAGAGTGTAGTGGACTCCTTTGTTAAACACCTTTAGGTGTTTTGCAATTTCTCTTTCTGTGTATCCTTCTTTCCTCAATGTACAAATCTTTACTTTTGTTTCTTTACTCAGTTGCTTCTTTCTAGCCATTTTGCGGTAGATTGAATGCAGTTGAGATTTATTAGGATTTTTGTATGCAGACTCTCAAAAGCCAAAAAGTTGAAGTGAATAATCCAACTGTGATTAGTTTTTTTGCTTTTGCACTGAAGTTGTGACTCTTGCAAATGTTTTCAACCCTAAAACTAAGCCCTTATTATCTTTTGCTGACATATATTTAGCAATGTTCTGTTAACATCAATGTATATCTAAAGGTAAATGGAGTAAAATGGTGCATTTCCATGAAAGCAACATCTAATCATGGAGTAAATACATCCCCCAAAAAATAAAACTCATGCTGGATTTAAAAAAAAAGCATTGTGACAAAAACTTGAAGTTACTTCCAACTGTTCGGCCTGTAATGGCCTTGCTTCCAAACTTTTGGCCTGTAGTGTACGTACCCATTTATTTTTAAAAACAGATACATGAACCACCATGACACAAACTGAGAATTCGCCCCTGAAAACGATGCGTGGAGAGTGGAGATTTTGGAAAACTCTGTTTGCATGTAAACGGAGAAAAACTTAGATTTGGGTAGTCGTCGGCAGATTGTGCGCCGGAAACTGGATTAAATGTGACAATGTTTACAATCTATCATCATGATCATAGATGTATGCAGTATATCAGTCGCATTTATGCTGGTTTAACCCCTTTTATATTTGTTTGCATTTGCATCTTTTCTAAAAGAAGGAATCGCTTTTGTTGTTGCAGCTATGCCGGATTTTGATCGACTCACGTGGGCTTGAGCTTCTCTCTACACTGCCACCTACAGGTTTGGCATGCTCTTGACGGCATATACACACGAGTTAGTGTAAACGAAGACTTGAATGCAGTGGTGTGCATGCAGTTGTTTTTGTAAACAGAGAGGGTGAAATGTCAGTTTCTAAAAATAGCTGGGCACATAAAAACCCCACCGCATCCGGAATGGCGGTAATTTTAGCTGTCCGCCAATTATTACTGAAAGCATTTGTGAGGCGAATTTCGTGACGGATTACGGACAGCTTCATGGATTCATGGTCAGTCGCGCAATAACAAGTTGTCTCTATAAAGACAGACACATAGACATATAAGCAGTAGAATGTGTCCCTCCAGAGGAGGAAGTCTACTTCTAGACTTTTAGAATCAGCATCTCCTCATCCATGGTGGCACCGGGTTGAAATGACGTCTAAAAACCTTTCACTTGTTCGTCTCCGCCCGTTTGCATGGTTTAAAATACGATCCTCCTGAGACACGGAGAGTTTTAGTTTGAAAAGAAGCCGAATGTTTTTTTTGTGTCTGTGCCCAACTGCTTTTCCAGCACGGGTTAACCTGTGCTGAATTTATCCGGCATGCTCTGGCATCCGGAAAAAATAGAACTCTTGCGATCAGCTATCGAGTCTGGCGATCCGCAGCGGAACGGAAAGAAGCCGGTGGAAATCGACACGTTAACTTGAATGGTTACGATCAGCTACGATTGACGGATACAACCTTCTAGTAGACGTTCAGGATGTGGTGGAAATTGGGGTTAACACTGTTTTGGAAAGGACAGCTGGACTTACTTGGGACGTTTCACCTTAGGCAAAACATCCCAAGTAAGTCTAGCTGTCCTTTTAATGAAGAATTTGAAATCACAGATGCTGCATCCTCAGTTTTAGACAATATCTCCAGGTTTAGGAGCAACATCTGCGTCCATCCAGACAAAGATTTTTTCAGGGAAGAACTTTATATGATCCCAAACCACATTCTAACAACAGTTGAAATATGGAATGTAGAACTCTTGTGGTCAGCTGTGGAGTCCGGCAGTCCACAGCGGAACGGAAAGAAGCCGGTGAAAATTGACATGTTAACTTGAATGGTTACGATCAGCTACGATCAGAGGATACAACCATTTAGTAGCTGTTTAGGATGCATTGGAAATTGGGTGTAAATGTGGTCTATGTCTATGTGCAGGGCGGTAATTTTGAAAAGAGAGCTTCTCTACTTTAATTTAGAGAAACATCCTGCAAATGCAACAAAGCAGAAATATGTTAAAACGTGTGCTAAAGTAAGCCGATCCAGGAGGCTAGAATAACGTTCATAAACCTGCAGCAGAGATCTCCACAGAGGAACATGATGAGCGTGATTTCAGAGGAAAAAAAGCACAGTTTTCAGATTTGTCTGTGTTCCTTGTTTCCACGTGTCCTCTATGTTCGAGGTCTAAATGTTGCGTGCAGAATTTCACGCTTTAGTTTCCTGTGACTTTGACAAACCGCCCTGTTGTGTAAGTGTGTGTGTTTGAAGGTAAGCATGCATTCACAGCCTTCGAGAGCCTATTATCAGCCTTCCCGGTCTCCTTATGTAAGCAGACTATAAGTCAAACAATACCTGTGTAACCTTCAAACACCTACAGCAGCTCTCTGTGCCGGCGCTTGTGTAACCGCGGTAACCGTGGTCGATGGTGTACCTGTTGTGTTATATCTTTCAGCTCATTGATGTGGGCGTTAGAATTTGAGGAAATGTGAATGGGCTTCTGTTGTTCCGAGTTTGACAGAGGAGAAACAGTCCTGTCTTTCTCCAAGTCTGTGTGGACTCTGAAGAGCTCATGTCCTTCACGGTGCCTCTTTGTGTGAGTCTGTTTATGTGTAACAACGACAGCACAGCCTTATGTTTGGTATGCATGCCTCACTTATTGTCTGCTCCTCTGGAAGAGAAGGAGGGAATAAAAGCTCCTGTTGGCAAAGATCAGTGAGGAGGAGGTTTTTATTTCCATCCTCTTTACACCTGTGTGGAGGTTTATATCCTTTCAGACCGGTTTGATGTCACAGCGTGTCCGTGAACAGCCGGACTGACCCTCAGATCCTGAATGAGCTGATTCACACAAACTCAGCCTTGACTCCAGCTAAAAACCTGCTTCACAAAGATCTGATGTTCAGCTGTGTGACATGACAATAAAACCAATTCTTCTTTTTATTGGACCAGCAAAGAGTTTTTGTATTTGAGGTAAATCTCCAGGCAGTCATTTACTCCGATTACTTTGTTCTGTGCAGTAAAATGACAGATAATTAAAGCACCTCATGTGGACTGTGATCTTTTTAAGTCTCCTTACTGATCTTATTCTGTATGTAGAATATTTTTATAGTTGAAAAAGAACCTCTTTGCTCTCATATATTTAACTCCTCCTGACATGAAGCTGAAACTCTGCTGTGACATGGAATGCGAATGTGCATGAAGACTGGTGAAACCTCAGTACTCATGTCCCCTTTAAAGGCATTCAGGATGGTAAATCCACCAGTAGGGGGGGCTGAGTTCTTCTATAAGTAGTGCTGTTACTATGATCGAAGTGTTTGATTAAATTAGCTGAGGCTAGGACCGTCATCACACCTGTGAAATCTGGTGAACATCAGACATAGGCTGTGTCCGAAATGGCATACTGCCTACTATCTACTTACCTACTCAAGCAGTACCTACTGCATACTGACTACTCAAAGATGATTTGAGTATGCCGCGGCTGCTCGAGCGTTTACGTACAGATGCATACTATATACCCCAGAATGCATTTCGTGACGGCCGGACGCAGCACCGGGAAAATTTAAATAGTCCTACCACAAGCTACACAGAACGACTGCATTCCGGACAAATTATATAAATTCATTCAATAATAATATTTTTTCTAGCAAGAAAGTAAGTGTTTACATCACGATTATGAGCCCAGTTGTTTGAAATAGTGGCTGTTTGTAAATTTGTCTCGGTGTTTTCGGAGACCAAAGCGTCCGCTTGGTGGGTGTTTGCGTCTATTTACCGTAAACACCGGGCAGCAGCAGCTCCCCCTTCATGTTTTCAAATTATTACGAAGTGTTTATATAATCAACAACTACGCGACACAAACCGAGCGGCAGTGGATAAAAAAATACCACAGACACCTGTGTATCCATGGTGATAATGCTATACACCACCTGCTGGGCGTGTGATGAGCAGCAGAGGGCTGCAAAATGACCAACACACAACATAATTATTATGACCTCGCTCGGTTATTCCTTGGCAAATACATCATTTCCCGACTACATTCTTTTCATGTACAATGATAATTTCAGAAACCATCAGATTTTCAACCACAAGTAAGAATTAGTAAAGCTCATATCTACATTGTCAACTGGAAACTCCCCTGTTTGTATATTCTGAACCATGTGCTCTCTACCAATAATAATTTTTATTAATCAGAGGTCTGTACTTCATATGAGTGACCACTTTGATGATGCATTCAGAGATGAGAAGATGCTCAAACTTGATGTAATAAATACATCTTTAATAGACACTTAAATAAATAAAGTCAATTCATACGATAGTTAAAAACATTACCTACAATCCTAATTTAAAATACAAATAAATCTGGTAAAAAGATCAAAATATGATAAAATGATAAAAATTGTGTAATGTATACTGACTAAATATTGTTTATCTGTTTATATATATATAATTATTATTGCAATCACATGCCATCTATTTCTTTTCAGCCTCGGGAAAGAGGGCCATATTACCAGCTGAGGTGCGCAATGCATTGTGGGAGAAGCAGTACGTGAAGCAAGCTCCGTTCCACACTCAGAAATCGAAGCCGATTGAGTATACATCCGGGCATTTCTTGCATACACAAAATTTGCATACTGTACAGTGTGAACGCACTGCCTACTCAATTCAGAGGCGGGGTTAGTAGGAGTAGTAGGAATAGTAGGCCATTTCGGACACAGCCATAGTCTTCAAAAGGCAGTGCGACTTTTTCACCCGCATTTGCGACTAAAAATAAATGTGTTCGAATTGTAAAATGTACTTAGGGTCACAAAAAGTTAGCCGTCGTGACAAATGTTTTTTCCTGTAAATATACGCGGTGAAGTTAGTTTTAGGTTAGATATCCAACGGACATTCACTGAGGATCTACCGATGTCTTCTCACTCTCCATAACCGGAAATAACAACAGCAGCGCGGTTAATTCTACTCAGCACCCTCATTGTCAACGTTGGGTGTTGAATAAGGGACCGTCAATAAATTACCGTTTGATGTTCTCAGAAAAGGCTGTTTTCCTTCAATCGCTTCCATGTCACGTGACCAAGGCTTTGTTCACACTGCAGGTCAATTCCGATTTTTTAACCATATGTGACACATATCTGATTTTTTCAAATCCGACCCAGGCCTCTTTTGTCTGTGGATATAAATCAGATATGTTCACATTAGATGTCACGTTCGTTGTTGTAATGTGAACGACCACACAAAAAAACAGATTTAACAAAAAATCTGAGTTGTGCATCATAACCTGCAGTAACCCAATTGACCTGAAATTGATTTCAGATAATAGTACTGAGGTCGACCAATAAGACAAACATTATTTGATCAATTTTCATTGTGCTACTTTTTTTTGCTACTTACTTTTCAACTTAGGAGAACATGTGCTGCTTGTGAAAAAAGTTAGTGTCACGCCCTGAAAAATAGAACCATGTGTTTCCACAGGGGGGCGCTTCGACCAAAGTTGAACATCAGCACAAAGATGTGTTTAGAGATGGACTTTAATCATGGATATGAAATATGAAGCAGATTAAACATTGCCTCAATGAGTAGGGTGTCCTGATACAACTATTTTACTTCCAATACAATACCAATATCATAGCCTTCAGTATCGGCCGATACCAATATAGATCCGGTATTGGCACAAAATTGTGTATGACAAGTTTTGCACTCAGCTGCAACGTCTTTTTCAGACTTTGACGATCAATACTCCCACACAGACGATATCACTCCTATTTCTCTCTACTTTGTTCATTCCTTAGTACACACTGTTGTTGAGATCACATTGACTCTGCAGGCTGGATCTGGGCGGTGCTAGCTAGAGATGCCAGAGCAGAGAATGGAATGGACTGCTTGTATCAGAATGCCGGTATTTGAGATTTTAGATGCATGCCGATATAATCCGATATTTGTTTTTTGGCTGATATCAGTCTGATATCCGATATCAATATCGTATCGGGACAGCCCTATCTAAGAGGTACAGTCAGTACGTTTACATGACACTCGAGAAGACCGAATTATTGCCCTATTCTGATTAAGACCAGACAACTGAAGTGCATGTAAACACCTTAGCCTGACTATAATCGGAGTTTGAGAACTCCGAATATAGTCAGAGAACTTCGATTAAGACACCCAGATAATGCAATTGGAATTCCATTTTTTCTACCATGTAACCAGCGTAGTCGGAGTATGATTGGACAATGCGTGTGCGCCACGCCCCTGTAACCCAGTAACAAAAACATCAGAGAAGAGGAGTAGCGTTCATCTCATCTGCAGAAAAAGTAGCGTGTCCATCATGTAGGACAAAAACAATGCTGTACGATGCTCCATCTTCCTGCTCCAAAATGCCCAGCAGCAGTTGTAGACACATTGACTTCTGGCACGGACCTGCTGTTGTTGTTGACGGTTGTATGGGGTCGGAAACAGCGCCGTTGAAAAGACCCATATCGCCCCCTAGTTTTGGGGAGGAGGACACGTTCACGTCAATAATTCAATTTTCTTAGCTGCATGTATATGCCGACAAAGAGAGAGAGAGAAGTCTGATTCAGAGAAAAAAACAAACAAATTATGAGCTTAGTTCAATTAAACTGTGCATGTAAACACACTGAGTGACTTCCTGTTTTAGGGCTGAACCCTCCGTCACAGCGCCACCTTCAGACGTCCAGAATATGCTTAAATAACCTTTAATAACCTGTAATCTTTAATGGTGCACAGGTATTCAATCACACCTAGATAACAGGAGCTCACTTTGAACAAATGTTTACTTAAATCCAGAAGAATTTCATCGTGTTCTTCTCCGATCTGTCGAGTATTCCAAACATACGATCCTCAAAATTAAAGAGTTCAAACACGGTCAGAAAACATGGAGCAGGATCCCCCCACCATCTCCACACAAACACCAATCACTCCACCTGAATTAGTCATCCAACTCCACCCATAACCCAAATGTTTGTGACATTCAACAATGAATTTTCTGTAGCCATAATAAACACATTTGGATGATATTAATTTAAACATTCAGTCATTTGTAGCAAAAGTTGGTGCTGAGCAGAGACTAGTCCTCACCCTCCTCTATTTTTCGTTTCCCTCTTTTGCAGGATTTTTTGGTGTAAATGGTGGAGTTCACCTTCACTCTGTGTGTGTGTGTGTGTGTGTGTGTGTGTGTGTGTGTGTGTGTGTGTGTGTGTGTGTGTGTGTGTGTGTGTGTGATTCAGCAGTTGACAAGTTTACAGTCAATTGAACCTTCAGTAGATGTTTTTCAAACTTTGGTACTTTTTTTTTGACAGATCCATTAGCTTTCAGGGAACTGACAGCAGTGACACAAACAGCCAGTGGACCCCAAACATCACCACGTCATTCTGTCAGAGCTGCTCAAGTAAAAACACAGAGCAGGATGGGATTTTTAAAACTCATTTCTCCTCATGTTTCTTTTTTTTTTTTGTCACAGTAATGACTGGTCTGAGTTTCCTCTTCTCCAGTTTGAAACAGTGCAGATTAGAAAGTGACTGTGAGTGTGTGTGTGTGTGTGTGTGTGTGTGTGTGTGTGTGTGTGTGTGTGTGTGTGTGTGTGTGTGTGTGTGTGTGTGTGTGTTTGGAGGAAAAGCATTAACAAAGAAAAAGTGACTAAGTTGCTTAACTCTTATGAAGGCAGTCCTGGGAACAGCAGATCATCATCCAGCGAAGTTCAGAGACAGAAGGTTTTTAACGAGGAGGGGGGTAAAGCTAAACGAGAAAGAGATTGTACAACCATAATCTTTTCTAATCTTTAAGGTTAATGTGGCCTCAGATCCGTTTACGTCTGCTCCTGCAGAACCAGTGGGTGTGGGAGGGGGAGGAGCCTGAACATCAACTCTGTAAAATGGACCGTGTTATATGGAGGAAAAAAAACCCACACATAAAGAAAGTTCACAAAAACACACAAGGAGAGAAACTTTACATAAACACACAGAAACTTTAGACAAACACAAACACACACACAAGCTTTATACAAATACACACAGAGAAACTTTACATTAAAACACACACAAAAACATTACACAAACACACACAAAGAAATTCTACACAAACACAGAGAGAAACTTTACACAAACATACACACACACACACACCCACACACAGAAACACTACATAAACGCACACACACACACACACACACACACACACACACACACACACACACACACACACACAGAAACACTACACAAACGCACACACAGAAACACTGCATAAACACATACATAAACTGTGATACATAACTGATCTTCTCTCTCACACTCTGAATAACCTTGAGAGTGATTTTACTTCATTTGGCATTAACATCCAGAACAATCCTTCACTTTTGACCTCACTTGATATTAAAACTTCTCTCTGAATATTTGACTGTGGAGTCGTTCGTCTACAGAAACCTTTTCAAAACTATAGAAACTGCAGGAACCTTGCTCTTTTTATCGACCCTGTATCTCAGAAACTATAAACTAGTTCAGTTGGTCAGAGGAACCTGTCAGCTCCTGCCTGTTAACTGCCTGTTTTAAAGCATCTGTATTAAAAACTAACATTTTATTAACGTACAAAGTAAATAACAAAGAATAAGATACACTTAGAAAAATATAAAAACAATTTTAACTCAACAGAACAAGAAATGTAGATAAATACTAGATAATACAGTGAGTTAGTTTACAGTCCTGAGTGTTTTTGCAGGTATGCAAGACCCAAAATAAACAAATTGCCCTCTCAAAGATAATGAAGATGCCTTAAAATGTCAACATTAGATGATGTAAATGATACGATTAATTGCTGCCTAGGTCTGGTGGCTGCACTGCTAGTTGTGGCTAAACTGCTAATGCTTCTCGTGCCGTCAGCAGTGGCAGGCTGTACAGACCCCGCTCACATTTTCATGCTTTCCACATAATCATTGAGGAGGCACTTGACTAACCAGATTTGTTGTGTTGCCGGTTTTTGAGGGCACCGATCGCCAACATACCTTGCTCATCGGCTTAATTACTCAACGTCACTTTGGAAATACCCGAATCACCGCCACATAACTGACATCAAATAACTTCTCAACAATAACATCTTCGGAGAATGACTCCAAGTCACAGCTGACATCTATTTTGCTGCCCTTAGCTCTGCGTTTAGCTCCATGTTCTGTCATTCTGTTTACTTCTCCGGCAACTTACAGAAGTGAGCAGGAAAAGCTTGACTCTGATTGACTGTTGTGACGCACATTTCCTCTATGTTTGATCGAGTAAATATGATCTCAGCTGATCACCGTGATCGAACTTAAATTTATCACGATTATCGATCACGATCATTTAATCGCCCAGTCCTAACTCAACATCATGGACGCCACATCTCTCCAGTTCTGAGCCTGAATGAGAGAAACTGTAAACATGTCCTTAGAGCTGTCCTGATACAACTATTTTACTTCTGTTACTATACCGATAT